TTTTGTGCATTTTAATTTTTAACCATAATTTATATTTTTGTGAATTTTGCCATTATTTTAATTTTTATGCATTTTTCCCTTATTTGATTTTTTGTACGTTTTGCCTTAATTATTTTCTAGATTTGTTATACCGCGAATTAGTAATTGGGGATGTCTTTAAGACCTTGAGTTGCAATTATTGAGTCAGCAATAAAAAGTATTTTTCAGTAACTCTCAAATTCGAATCTATTTTTAATACTTTGAATGATATTGCTTGAATTTATTAAAATTGTGAATTGGACACTTTTATGCATTTGTACTTGTATTTGCTTCTTAATACAATATCTCCTTTAGAATGCTAGCAGTAAAATTGACAAAATAGTTTGTTTAATTAATTGCAAAAGTGGATGTATAAACCTATTTTCTTAAATAATTTTTTGAAACAGTTATGGAGTAGTACTTCAAAGGAAAGTGTGAGTCAGAGTTATCACCTCCTCCAAACATAGGTGGTGATTCTTCAAAGAAAAGTCATGCAGATATTAATTTGACGGATCTTCCATCGGATCCCGAACTACGACCTTGGATTATGGATTATAATCATAATAACCAAGACCAAATTCGTAGAGCTTATTTATAAAGGGATCCTTGTCAATCCCGTGATCATAGTTTTCTACAAAAAAGGATTTGGTGTTAAACTACGATGGTTTAACAAAACTTGGTTTTCTCAGTTTGGTAACTGGCGAGAGTATAGTGCAACAAAAGATGCAGCATTTTGCCTATGCTATTATCTTTTTAAATTAGATGCGGGAGAACAATCGGGTGGCGAAACCTTTGTTAGCTTGGGTTTCTCAAATTGGAAGAGAATAGAGAAGTTTCAAATGCATGCTGGAGGCGTTAATACTTCTCATAACCAAGCTTGGAGAAAATGTCAAGATTTTTTAAATCCAAAACGAAGTATTGAAGTTATTTTCTTCAAATAATCAGACCAAGCTCGAAGTTAGTACAAAACTTGGTTGAATGCATACATTGATTGTATTCAATTTCTTCTAAGGCAAGGGCTTGCATTTCGTGGTCACAATGAATATGAGAGTTCAAGTAATCAAGGAAACCTCCTTAAGCTTCTTAGATTTCTTGTTGATCACAATGAGGATATTAAAGTTGTTGTGTTGAAAAATGCTCCTAAGAATCTCAAATTGACTTCACCTGAAATTCAAAAAGACATTGTAAATGCAACTTCTACTGAAACATGTAATGTTATTGTGACTCATCTTGGTGATGTACTTTTTTTCGTTTTTATTGATGAACCATATAACGTATCAACAAAGGAGCAAATGACTGTTGTGTTATGATTTGTGGACAAGAAGGGACATGTAGTTGAACATATTACTAATGCTAGTGCTATCTCACTTAAGCCAGCTGTAGAAGATTTATTTGCTAGACATAGGTTAAACTTGTCAAGATTGCATATGCAAGGTTACGATGGGGATAGTAATATATAAGGTGAGTTCAATAGTCTCAAGACACTTATAATGAAGGAGAATGCATATGCATATTATATCCATTATTTTTCTCATTAATTACAATTAGCTCTTGTGGTTGTTGCAATGAATCATATTCAAATTGTGACTCTTTTCAATTTGGTTGCTAATATTGTGAATGTTGTGGGAACCTCATGTAAACGACGAGATATTCTTAAGGAGAAATTGTTGGAACGAAAATCCCAATAATCATTGACAGCTCACATGTATTTAATACAATTTTTTTTTTAAACCCTACAAGGCAGAATTAGGATTTCGAGATCGCTCTGGATTGATGTTGTCTCAACACGAACGCAGAAACTGAATACAGACATAGAAAATAACTCGCTAAACCTCACGATCTTCTGTCATATATCCCACAACGCCAAAAATTTGGATACAATGTGGCTGCAATGACCTCCGAACTTCTATTCTCTCTCTCTCTCTCTCTCTCTCAACCTCTCTAAAAAACGTGAGTAATTAATTGATGTTGATTTAAAGAACCTCGACGTCTATATATAGGCTATGACAGAAACCCTAAGGAGAAATAAGGACCCGGCTTCCAATGGGCCTAGAATTTTTATGTTCAACACAAAACAAACATTTTACAGTCCAATAATAGTAAGTTAGTCTACTAAAAATTTATTATTGATCTCCTGAACTTTATTTTAAAATTATATTCAAGCTCCTTATTATTATATGTTTAATAATCTCTTTACGTTTAAGATTACAGATGTCCATCAATTAAATAAAATGCTGACAATTATATTTAATTGACTTCTTTTATTCCTTGAGACCTTACCACTCAAATTATTTGTCATGTCGGATAATTAAATCTACCTGCAGGGTTTGACATGGATAAAACTTATGAGCTTTCTCAAGAGGACATCATCAACCCATTTAAATATCAGGACGTAGTTTCCTTTAATAATTAATGTCTACCATAAAAATAACATCGTCTCCCAATTCACCAAGCTTATTGACTCAATATGAATATCACTCTTTGATGAATTAAAGTGACAATCATTATATGCACGTGACGATTAAATATCTCGGGATTAAGAGCATAAGCAATTATAATAATCATGAGATATTTATTACTTATTGGATCAGTAAAAAATAATAACCTCAACACAGGTATGTTTAACATACAAAGTGTACTAGCACAATAATCCGAGATATCAGATAGTCTATTACATTCAAGACAGACTATACCAGAATATTACACTACAATCATACTAATGGTGTGTCCAATTGCATCTAAGATTGTAAACATATATTTATATTATAAAAGAATCCAATAATCTGGTCTTTTGTGCACAAGTCAAACTCTACACACCATATTATTTATAATGTATAATATAAGACACATATATACTATATATCAAATATAATGCAAATATTTTGCCCACATAGATTATTAATAAAATGGAAAGAACAAACTTCTATTAATTAAAATAAAGAGTTTTACTATAAAAATAAGTTTTTAATATACAACTCTATTAGAAAAAAGTAGCTAGAGTTATTGAATTACATGATAATAAGGAGCTTTCAAGTGGGTGAGACCTAAATTATTCTCTGATTAGCTTGGTTGATATGTTCTCATTAGTGATTGATGTGTTTGATATGATTTCAGAAGATAGTATAAATGCAAAACAAAGAGGGGAGACAAATTTTCTTTTGGACTTGCTACATTATTTTGAGTTTGTATTCAATCTTCATTTGATGAGAAGCTTATTGGGAATCAGAAATGAGTTGTCGCAGACATTACAAAGGAAAGATCAAGATATCGTGAATGTCATAACATTAGTTCAAGTATTCAAGCAACGACTTCAAATGATGAGGGAAATTGGTTGGAGTTGTTTTGTTGATGATGACATATCTTTTTGTGAAAAATATGAGATAGTTGTTCTAGAGATGGATGATTTCTTTAAAGTTCAAGAGAGGTTACGAAGTACTCAAGAAAAGACAAATTTGTATCACTATCAAGTTAAGTTATTTTATACCGTCATAAATATGCAATTTCAAGAGCTAAATAGTCGTTTTACTAAGTCAGACACTAATTTGCTTCTCTATGTGGCGTGTTTGAGTCATTCTGATTCCTTCTTAGCTTTTGACAAGGAGAAATTGGTTCGTCTTGCCCAATTTTATCTGAAATAATTTTCTTCACTAGAGCTTATGATACTTTCGGATCAACAAGATAGCTATATTATTGATATGCGCTCTAGTGTTGAGTTTTCAAATCTACTAGGGATTGGAGATATTATTCAGAAAATGGTTGAAGCAAAAAAGTACGTGCACGTGGCATATCCATTGGTCTACTTACTTGTGACATTGACATTGATCTTGCCAGTTGCAAGTACCACAATAGAGAGAGCATTTTTGGTTATGAAAATAGTGAAGAGTCGATTGCATAATTGAATGGACAATCAATAAATGACAGATAATTTGATTGTATACATAGAGAAAGATATTTTCGGTTGCATTGATAATAATGTTATCATGCAACGCTTTCAAAATATGAAATCACTTTGTGGTCAATTGTAAAAGACTATCGTTAGTCCCATTTTTTGTAAATGGGTCTAATTAAAACCTTGTTTTGCAGATTTTTTTTTTGTTTCTATACCCCATATATATATATCAACTTTTGGCTCTTTTGTCAATAAAATTTTAGGTATTATATATGATTTAAAAAATTTATGTGTCTTTAACTTTAATCTTTAAGAAGGCAAAATTTGAAACTTATAGCTAGTACCCCCCCACATATAAATTTTTGGCTTCGCCCCAGGTGATGATTGTTGATGGGCAACAATGGTGGTGATGAGTATGGGTGTTCAAATTTTTGATTACCCGTAATTTCCTACTCGACTTGACCCTACCCAACCTTATTGTTTGGTTAACCAAAAAAATCGAGTAGGAATGCGAAAGAATTTTTGGTCTTCCGATTTTTGTTGTGTTTCATATAGTTTAAACCTAAAATAGTTGTTTNAATTTAATGATGCTACACATACCACTTTCGTGTCCACTTTTGTGCATCACCTTATTTTTACCACTTGATGTGATACAATCACGGTCACCGAACATTTATAGATCTGTAAGACTAATTAATCTAATGACTTATCTGATGTAATACAATCACAATTATTGAACATTTTATAAATTCAGTAAGACCCATTAATCTAATGGTCTATGTTGAGGTGCTGCACAAAAGCAGTGCAAGAGGAGTAGTGTGTGTAGCATTGTTCTACACTTCTACTAATGAATGACCTTTGGCCATGATAGTACCATAGTCTTGGGTTTTCAGAATATCACATGATCTGGTTTATGAACCAACACCAATATTCAGAAATATGTTTGTAATCAGAATGCAGAATCAAACAGCAACCTCAAGGAAAACCCAATGTTTCACAAAGGAAAGCAAAGAACATGGGGACCAAATAACATAAACACTCACATCTCATTCCTTCATCACCCAAGTACAAGCTCAAATTTGAAAAACTGCAACTACTTGCCGAAGAGAACACTCATCACACTCCGAACCACCGGCCCTCTCTTATCCCTCATCACCTCCCTAACCGCCTTCTCATTAGGCGCAAACCCTTTCCCCTTCAACTCCTCCAAGAACTCCCTCCCCTCCTCTTCTCTCCCCATCTTCACCAACCCCTCGATCACCCCCACATAAGTCCCCGCATTGGGTTTCATTCCCTTTCCCATCATTTCCACCACATACTTCTTCGCCTCAGTCACCAACTTGCTATCGCCACTACTCGCCAACCCCTTGATCAACACACTGTAAGTGTACGCATTGGGTAAAACTCCAGACGCTAGCATTCTCATGTACACTTTCTGGGCCTCCTTGGCCTGACCCGCATTAGCATATGCCTCGATGACCGCGGTGTGAGCCACCACATCAGGCATATGGCCTTTGTCTTTGATTTGAGAGAATAGTTCGAGTGCTTCGTGGGTGAGTCCGTCTTTGGACAATCCGTCGAACATCTTGACTGCATTGTTGAAGAGGCCTTCTGAGCTGATTTTGTGGAAGACTTCTTGTAGATTTTTGGGGTCCTCTGGTTCTTCGATTGCGGGTTTTTTGTTGAATGGGTCGTAGGGTAGGGGGAGTTTGCTCTTGTCTATTTCTTTCGTCTTCGGCTTCGAGTCTTCAGAGTCGGACTCGGCGTCTGAGTCGGATAAGGAGAAGTTGACTTTGGTGTTTCGTTTCTGGGTAGTACTTGTGGTGGACGGTGCTGGTTCTGAGGTGGCGGCGGTGCACAGTGAGGTCGTAAATGGGGGTTTTGTAGAGAGTGGTGGAAAGGGTATCTTCAGGGTCAAAGGGATTGGGAGTTTGGTAGCGGTGAACGGAAGTAACGGTGGTGGTGTTGGTACAGAGAAGTGGAGATATGAGCAAGAAACAAAGAAGACGGTTCTACGGAAGGAGAGAGAAGAAGGGTAATTGGAAACGATGAAGGACCTAGCAATGGCTGTGCTCGCCATTTGCTTGCGTTGCAGTTGCAGCAATGAGTTGTGGGCCGGTTGGGTGAATTTAGTTACATACAGCACCTTTGTCTAATGTACAACACTCGAGTTGGATAAGAATATAATTGACAAACCCAAGTTATTTCAAGTCATAAGAGGGATTCTTTATAAATTCAAAAATCTTAAGTTTGAATTTTAATAACATAGATTAGTTGTATTGTTTATGAATACTTTAATCTCGACGTGAATGACCTGTTTTTGATTGGACCATAGAGAAAATTAATTGAAGTATAAGTAAACTGATTCAAACACTCCGACCCAAATAAAAATGTAATTGACAAATTCAAACTTGTCTAATCAGTGGCATAAATTAGAACTTCAAATTATACTATCTCACTTTAGCCCTAGGAGGCAAGTATGATACAATAAGGATATTGTAATACATTAATACTATTGAGACATAATTTGGAGACATAATAAGTTATCACCAATGAAGTAATATTGAAATGTGTTTAAATGATGGGTCTCATTGTAACATTAAATGAATTTACTATTATATCATTGGTGACAACTCATTATATCTCCAAATTATGTCCATAAATTATGTCTAAATAGCTTTGTTCTATTTGTAATATTATTGAAAAATTTACAAAACTTAGAATAGAAATATGCCTAGAATACATCTATCATATAGTGTACTAGCAATAATCTTATGTCTAAACGAAATTTGTAATATCAAAAATTGAATAATGATCGTATAATATTTATATTTTAAATAAAAAATTTGTTTAATTATAGATCTTAAAACTAAAGTGAACAGAGAGAAAATAAGAAAGAGATAGAAAAGAGAGAAGAAAGAAGTAGGTTTAGATTAGTTGAGTTTTTTTGTATTAAAGAGTGTGTTAGTTGAGTGATCTGATATTAAGGACTATGTAGAGAAGATGATATTTTTGAACAAAAATATTATTTTGGGATGAATTTTGTACCACTTGATCAAAGTAAATAAAGATTTGATCAATCTTGATCGTTATTGTGTTATAAGTTTATAATTCAACTTTCTCATTGTAATATTAGATCAATTTTATATTTTTACTAATATCTAATTATTTAATAATTAAAAGTTATAAAAAAAGTAAAAATATATATAAAAAGTTAGAAATTTTTATTTGTAAGATAGTATTAATGGTTTTATCCCCTTTGGTATAGAGTTCATGGTCAATCCGTTTTTGGGATGACTATTCAATGAATAAGAAAAAAAAATGATTGAAAATACCATTTTAACTAACCTATGTGAAAGTTGCAAATTATATTGAAGAAGAAATTATGATAGTATTTATAAAGTAAAGTTGATTAGTTAGAGAATGTGTGACCTGATTATGTATTGCATGCATATTAACATAATTTTTTGGGTTAAATTATAATTATGTAAAATTATTAAAAGGTTAATTAAATTAAATCTTTAATAGGCGTGATGCGTGTGAGCATACATTGAGTACGTGGACCATGTTAGTGATGTATCAGTGAGACCTATTTATAAAATTTCATGTGTGAAAAATTAGTGGGTCGATTTCAAAATTATTTAAAAACTTGAGGGGAGGTAAGTGTAATTAATCCATTAACATGGGTTCCCTTTACCGGTGTTGGCATAAAAAAATGGAGGTGTATATTAAGTGTGTCGTGTGTGTGTGTTTTAAGGCGTAAAAGTGTGTGTTTAATATATAATTTAATGTGTGTGTGTGTCTGGTTCTTTGCTAGAATCGTGAGTGAGTGTAACCAGAAGAGAAAGTGGACAAAAAAAAGACATCAAGAAAAGGTAAGGATGTGTGTGTTTTTTTTGGTGTGCGTGTGTGTGATTAATTTATAAAAATGGGTTGTTTTATTTGAAATTCAATGGACTTTTTTATTTTAATTGCAAAACAGTTTTTTTTGTTAGTTTAATTAAGTGAGTTAACATAATTTAGGGGCTGTTAACAATGAGTTTAAAATAGGTATACAATGGGTGTGAGAAAAGTATGAAAAACGAACACTTGGGATGCTTTTCGTGGGCTAGGTTAGAACTGAAATTATGGGAGTAAAATAGGGAGTTAAAGAGTTCAAGGAAGGGCCTGTTTTGTATGATTAAATTGATTAAGTGTGACTGTGTTAAAAGAAAAATGTGATAGATGTTAGAAATGAGTGTTGATAATGCCGAAACCTTGATTTATAAATGTTATTATCACATGTGTAAATTTTAATCCAAATGACCTGAAATTTTTGCATGTAACATTTTTAAATGATGCTTGATGTGATAATGTAACTTTTGAATGCAAATGGATATGATATCCAATGCAAAATGAATGAAATGTCGGAAGTACAATTTTTTAGATTCAGGGTCGAAATGTGTAAAAAAATGGGCCCCGGTCAATGTGTTTAACCTATTTAATCCTAATTTGTGATTAATGTGAGTGATTTTGAAAATTTGGAAAGAAAATGTGATCTCTAGAACAAAAGTGCTAGTGTCTGAGTGGATAGTGCGGTAATCGGAGTTACCGGGGTACTTTGGGGTGCATCATTTTGCATGCATTAGTGCATGATTAACTATTAAATGTGATAAACATATTGATATTGTAATTACAAATGTGTTAGGTAAAACGGGTGAGACAGTCGATGGTGGAACAGATACGATAACACTGAAAGGATTCACCGATAGGACCGAAGGGCAGTAGATTTGTACATTTGAGGTGGGTGTATATTGTTATATGTTTTAGAAATGCTATTATAAGATGATAATAAATGATAGAATTTAATAACATTCTCCAGGATTATGTACTATGTTCTTATGTGATTGAATGATACTTTGTACTGTGTATTGTGGAATGTGGAATGTGGTGCACTGTTTGAGACAAGAGCGTCAAAACCTGATCATTGAGTGTATAGTGATGTACTAGCAGTGTGGTGTTCCTAAGAGATTCGGGAGACACAAATCCATGTGGGATCGATTACCCAATGAGGGGTAGCATGGTGATAATGTGGTTTATGAATTCTTTGAAATTAGATTGATTTTATTGTTTAATACGTGTATGTACGTAGTACATACCTACTTTTGTGTATTACTATCATTTTCATTCCATATACAACATGTATACTCACTAAGGGCATGGTTTAGCTCACACCCCTATAGGTTCTCTTTTTTAGGTACTATAGAGGAAGGTGCAAATCAGTCCACTGTCCCATCGATTAAATCTTGTATAACATTAGTGTGATATTACTCAAGTTTAGTGTTTGTATAACTATTTGCTGGACTATATTTTATAGTAAGTAAGAAATTATTATGACAGGTTAATAATAGTAAACAAGCTCAACAAGCATACTTTGGGAGGTATGCTATGTAGGTGTGGGATTGTGTGTATGTACACAAACTAGAAAAAAATGAAATATGTGTTATATATGAGTTATAAAATAGGTATTATCATCATGCTTAATGACTAAAGTGATGGGTTGTGTTGTTGCACCTATGAAATTATTAGTGTTTTATTAATCTGGATTATATATACGTAAACAGGTGTATCAAAAACCTAATCATGTCTCATCCTTAGGAGATTGGGATGAGGTGTGACAATTTAGTTGGTATCAGAGCTAAAGTTTATAGTTTGGTAGTTGAGTTGAGTCTAGTGTGACAGTGGACTTAGGGATTGGTCTGTTGATGTGACACCCCAAAATCATGGAGTCCATTAATTTCCTATCAACCCACGGAATACCTGTGGATACCAAATAACTCGATATCGCACCGTTGTGTCCCATTTATCGGGATCCATAATTTAATGAAATTCGTGCAGAGTCTCCTTTGTACGGGAAGCTCTCCCTCAAAAACACAATCTGTGCAATCAACATTTACATGACCCATCCGAGGTCCAATATAATACCATAACCACACAGGGTCCATTTATAAGTAAAACTTGACCACACCGGGTCCAATCATCATATTTATATCGAAATATGCAATGTTATATTAAAACAGTCCATATAGACTCTATTACAATTCATTTACACATTACATGCCAAAATTTAATTACAAATCTACTTTTACCAAAAAAATGGATTGGAAGCCACAAGTCTGCTTTTCTTCAACCATGTGACCCTGATTGTGAGCCGTCCATTGGCGCATGACCCACACCTGAAATGTTTCCCGTATAGGGTGAGCCAATGCCCAGTAGAATAATTCATACAGAGGCTACTCATCACCTAAAATACATATGCAATGTATACATGAAACATTTCACAATAAGTATTCCCTCCAACAATAACATACAATACAATGTTGGAAAATCATGATGTTATGCCAAGTAATGAGATGAAACTCACTCATGCATGCTATTCCGAGCCCACACCGACTCCCACAACATAATGCGACACTTACGTATAAAACAAACGTCTTTGATGAAACACTTCCAAAGATCATTTTGAAATCAACCATATGTCATAAAACCAATTCATTCTTGGATATTTTCCATCAAATGAATAATTTATATATCAAAATCATGTGCCTTTATTGGGTATCGGATTTAGGAATCGCACCTACGGCTCCGTACGCCGTTACACTTTTCTGGAGTTTCACTGCCGGTAAGTGTATGAACCAAGTGGCCGGGTTTTTCATCCGAGGGAGTGTCTAGCCCTACTTGCTATACCCGACACAAGTTTTATTATGCATGTCACCGTGCGACTCCGTAGGAGGTTCCATCCCACTTTTTCGAGCCCACCATCAAGCACCAATGTTGGTGTTGATCACCCCATGCGACCATACATCCACACTCATGCATATAGCCCTTGAATGTGATGTTATGTCATGCCCAATGTGCAATGTTGTCCAATGAGCTAGATCAACTACATATATACAATCCCATGGTAATTCATATCATAAGCATATAAATTCCATGAATCATTACAATGTCAATATATATAAACAACACATTCTATAAGCATGTTATACATTGTCATGTCATAACAACCTTAATTCACACTTAGGCATTTTAGCAAACACC